TAAATTAACATGAGTTTTGTAACAATACTTTATATTCTTTCGAATTTCCTATTTGCTAAGATAAATATCTAGTTTTCAAAGCTGTTCTAGCTAATACTACCTATGTAAATAGCCAATTCCGTGTAGATCACGCACAGCCGTCATGGTCTGTATACAACACTGCATAGCAGTTGATTTTGAGTAATTCCTCATAAGGTCTTCTTTTCGTATGTCCTCTAATGATGGTCCTACCAAACCCATTACGAGAAACTGAAATGCAATTCAATCGGCACTGTTATAAGCAAAACACAAATTTCATTGGTTTGGATCCGTCCTAAAAAGCTGTAAGACAGCTACCTTGAATTTAGCCGTTTTTCCCCTGTCTACAAATGCAACAAAATGAGCTTTTTTCTCTGGGTCTGTCTGTTCATGACATTTCATTAGAACCATAACCTCAATTTTCAACCGTAACATTAGCCGATTACCGAGTACCATTTCGGTTTTCATTGCAGATTCCTGCAAGATGCTCAATTGCAGAAGTATATCTTGTTTGGCTGATTCCGTCGTCGACTTACCGTTTTGTCAGGGTTGTTCACTTTAACCACCTTGTATACATCACCAAAGCCTCCCGATCCGAGCAGTTTTATCACTCGCCATCTGTCAAATAATCACAGATAAGAAACGAAATGTCATGAAAGTGAACGATTTTTCAAAACTAATAATATCGGAAGAGCTGCCTGTTACTGTCGAAATTTTACGGGCCGTTTGAAGGTGTGCATCTGCGCCAACACTAGGGACACTACTGACCCGTTTTTCCCAATGCTTTACCTCTCAATTGGAGAGATTGCAATGGACTTTAATATTTACTGAGAAGTTGTAAGAAACTCATAGCAATATAAAAACTGCTGTTCTAGCCCGTTACAATGCATTGTTGTCGGATAGGCGCTACCGTTTCTTCGACCCAAAAATGTTTTAAGAAATCGAAATTTTGGCAGCACATTGTGCATCATTCCAAAGCAGAAGTCTATCTTTGCAAAACATTTTACTACACTTATTCAAAGATTTCGTTTTTACTGAATTGGAATCGTTTAGGAATCTATATTCAGAGGGCTAAAAAGCTCAACCGAAAGCTTCATCTCTCTTGATTGTGAGACGGAGTTCACAAGTGTTGCCTTTTGCTTTTGCTATTTGCTGATTACAAAAATTATAGCCATTCCCCCTACTGCAGGAGTATGGTAGGTATATGCAGGTTGAAATCT